AGGAATGAGCATGCTCACCATAACCACAGCAGATACCATTACCAACAACATAACAGTTAAGACGCACAGCTCAACATTAGAACACAGCTAAGATAAAAAAAAAAAGATGCAACCGTTACAAAATAAAAATAAAAGACGATAATCTATGGAAGGATAACAGAAAGAACACTAAGCCAATACCTTTAAGAACGAATCACTAGTGGCGGAGGTTGTGGCAGCAGAAACACGAGGAGAATGAATCTCCCCAGCGACAACTACAGAATTGTTGGTATTCGATAATGGAAGGAGTGACCGCATGTGCTGACTACTACTTCGCCGTAAACTCCTACAGCTCTCGCTGTCTCGCTGAACCCGCCCATGCATAATAAAATACGGTTATTTGCATTTTCCCCAGTTTTTATACCACCCTCTGCTTCAAGCATCAAAATCTTTCAAAATTCCTCGTCAAATTTCGACCTCAACAACAAACCTAAACTCCTATCAGCACCTATTTATCTCATTTTCGACAATAATTCAAATCTCCAGAAACTCCCAATCGAATATCAACAACAGAATCAAAAAAAAGCCCCGAATCTCCCAATTCGACCACGGAAAATACCCTAGATCGCTCCAATTAGACAGAAGCCCTTCTTTATCGTGCTTTATTTAATTTCTAGGGCTTCACTCTGATCTAAAACCTATCAAAAATCAATCGGGCACGCAGATTCACACCGGGTTAAAAAAACCTCCGGATCGAGAAATTCAACCAAATCGTCTAAACAAATATCAGAAAAAAAGATGCAAACGACAACAAAACATCGCACGACAGAAATTAACGTGTACAAACTTACACATGTACTTCCCACACGTGTTTGTCTGTGTAAATTAGCGCGTGCGTATACAGAAGAACGGAGCAAGAGAGAGAAAAATCTGAGGTGTATTTGGACCGCCGAGCGAAAAAGAGGGGATTTTAGAGAGAGAAAGCGGGGGAGGTATAGATACAGGAGGCTGTACGTATAGTTAGAGAGAGAGAGAGAGAGAGAGAGAGAATAAAAGGGGAAAAATGATGTCGTGAGGACTCGTCAGACGGCAAAAAGACAAAAACCGGGTGTACTTGGAATTGAGTCGAGCGAGTTGAAACGGGCAGATCGGGCAGGCAGGGCAGTGGATATAATTATAACCTGATAATCTCACCCATCGAGGTACCGGGATTTGGTGAGATATCACACAAGGTGAGTTCACTAAAAGTTGACTGCTCTGATTTTGACTCCGTGGTATCTAAACCAAATTCGTGGAGGCATGATAAAATTACTCAGGGGTGTATGTATGTTGTAAAGTGTAATTTAGGTGGAAAAATATTTATGCAAGTTCTGTTCATTGTGCTGCTAATAATTAATTGTGGCCTAGACAAATTTATTATACCGAACTTATAGTTAGATTATTTAGCTATATCTATTTTTTTTTTTTTTGGTAGGGTATTACTATGATAATAACGCTGACTGACATTATATTAATGAATATAATTATTGTAATAATTTTTTTTATTGAATGATAAAACGATGAAAACTACTAATTATTATTAATTAAAGGGTTTAATACAGTTTGCACTTTGCACCATAGAGCTTGTAAAACTTACCTCTTGAAGTATCAAATGTAATATTTATCATTCTATTAATAAATCGAATAATAAAACTTTAACTTTAATGACATGGCATTTTTTATTCTCATAATATAATGAGTATGTTATTTTCAACGTCTTTAAAATCTATTTTATCATTTCAATATTAGAAGGTTACCAAGAAAAAAATCTGAATTTTAGTTCAATTTCAATTTATTTTTCACTTTTAGGGAGTTGCTTTTTAGGGTTTGAAAATTGTTATTTACGGTTCATAACAAAAAATATTTTATTTTTCTAAAACCTCAAAAAACCCAAACCCCCCCGCGCCCCCAAAACGGGTAAAAGCTCAACTTGGGCGTGCAAGCTGTATTTGAGCGCCCGAGTTGGGCGTCCAATGCAAAAAAAAAAAAAAAAAAAAAAAAAAATTAATTGGCTCAAGATGGGCGCCCATCTTGGGCGTTCCAGCATGTTTTAGCGAAAAAAAAGCCCTACAAATCGATTTGCATGGCTTTTTAACATGAAATTGGTTCCACGATCGACATACCAAACATATTACACATAAAAGAGTCGAAATTACCTTAAAAAATCGAAGCCCAACCCTTCTTCAAGCTTGATTTCGAATTTTCAAATTTTTTTTTCCTATTTGGAGTTTGGGGGTTTTTGGGTTTTTTTTTGAGAGGTTTTGGGGTTTTAGAGAGATAAAATATTTTTTGTTATGAACCGTAAATAGCAATTTTTAAACCGTAAAAAACATTTCATTATATAAACCATGTGTTATGTTCATTGCAGTCATTATATATATTCTCTGGAAAAAAATACGGTCAAATACATCTCACTTGCAAACATCTTTAATTTGCTGCATGCTTGATTCCAAATTTATTGTTATGAATAATTAGTGAAGATAAATGAAAAATATTGGAAGAAAATTTTGAAAACATTTCCATGAAATTAGAATTTTTTATTTTATTAATAAAATTAAAATTTTGAAAAAAATATTATTACATACTCATATTTATACATATATATAATGGTTTGAAGGAGATTATGAGAAGAAAAAATACCATATCATTAAAGTTAAGTTTTATTTTTGAGTTTATTAATGGAGGGGTAAGTGTTACATTTGCTACTTTAATGTGTAATTGTTAAGCCCCTATTACTTTACGAGTGGAAAGTTTATTCAATCATTAATTAAAGTAGTTATATATTTTTTATTTGCGAATATAACACTTAACCCCCTTGTTATAATCTTTTGCAGATAACCATCTTGTGCTCGTAATATCGGCACATAACCTCTTGTGATTGATAGAGCCTTCATAGAGGTATCGTTCGTTAGTTTTTCCGTCAAACTTAGCCGAACGTGTTAAACTTCAAGAGGGTCATCTGCAAAATATTAAAAGGAAAATATAAGTACAAGGAGATCATCTGCAGAATATAATATTTTGACGTTTGACACGTGCACTTAATTTCGCTACTTAAAGAACTACTTAAGAATGTTTATATTTTAAATATTCGATTATCCTACTTAAAGAACTATTTTATATCTTGAATTGTTCTAATAAAACATGCAATTTTGCTAAAATAAAGGGGTCGAGTATAATTTTATAAGGAAACTTACAGTTTTAAGTTTGCACATATTTTATATTTGGTCCCCATGTTCATCGAAAACACATTTGGTCCCTCATGTTTCAATATTTTAATATTTTTTTGTCATGTTCGTCAATTTACCGTTAATTCTTCAGTTAAGCAATGACGGACACGTGCTTGATTCCGTTAGTACTAACGGAAAATTGACAAAAAAGACTAAAAGTGGGGAATTTTTGAAATATGAGAAATCAAATGTGGTTTTTGTAAACATGAGGGACCAAATATGAAATCAGTGCAAACTCGAGGGGTGAAAACTGTATTTTTCTCAATTTTATACTAAGTAATTGCTCTCAAGTCAACTAGTTGAAATATATTTTCCATTTTGTTTTTTTATTTTTCTTGTGTTGCTGTTGGATAATGGGTAGTCTATGGGCTCGAAGAAGGGTAGTTTAGGAATTTCAAGTCAAATGGATCGTTTACCACAAGACTCGGTCAGAGTTGTTGGCCAAAGTTTCAACCCTTGTAGCAATCATTAGTAAATTAATCCGTTAATTAAATGGAAAAATATAACCAGTTTCTAATTGGTTAATTAATTAACATAAAGTCAGCATGTATCATCTCTACATGGAAGCATAAATTCCTAATCCAATCCATAGCACAATTCTCATTGTTAATCAGCTAAAAAAATAATAGAGATGGCAGCTTATGCAGCTCTAGTTTCTGTTATGAACATTATCGAAGACATCCGAAACCATCCTCGGTTTTCGACATCCCTTCACCACGAACAAGTCGATTCTCTTTGCGAGAACGTTAGTTTCTTGCTCGATTTTATAGAGAGTACTAATCATTCTCATGGATTTACGAGCGAAGAAGATGAATTCTTGGAGAGACATATTGCACGTGCAGCCCATGCGGCTGAAGATGTAATCGAATCTCATGTCGTCGACCAAATTCAGTCCGGTTCGACCTCATTGCTCGACTTACATAAAGTGATACGAGACTTGGTTTCTATCAAGGATAAGGTTGTCAATGTTGTTAAAGGAGAGCGGAGATTGTTCGAAGATCGTGTTCAACCGGGCCCCACATGTTCAATGTCGGTTCCTAGTACTTCATCATCAAAACCTAGGAGTACTGGAAAGAATAATACTATGGTGGGATTTGTTGATGAATTGCTTCACCTTATGGAAAAGCTCACTGGACAACAATCGAATCGACTGGTCATTCCAATTGTAGGCATGGGTGGAATTGGTAAGACTACTCTTGCCACAAATCTCTATGAAAATTCATTTATTACGCAATATTTTGATATTCGTGCTTGGGTTACAGTATCTCAAGAATATAGTGCAAGAGAAATCATTTTCGGACTTCTTTCTAGCCAAAGTAAATCCACTAGTGAAATGGACAGAAAAAATGAAGACGAATTAGGAGATCAATTGCACAAAAATTTATCGGGTAGGAGATATTTAATTGTATTGGATGATGTGTGGAGTGCCGAAATTTGGTATAAGATAAAATTTTTCTTTCCGGATAATAATAATGGAAGTCGAATTGTTGTAACCACTAGGATGTCAAATGTTGCTGTTCATTTTGGCTCGTCGCACTTTTCGATGAAACTTCTAGATGAGGTTAAAAGTTGGGAATTGTTTTGTCAAAAGGCATTTTTCGACGAAGAATGCCCCCGTGAATTAGAGGAAATTGGGAAGAAGATTGCTAAAAAATGTAAAGGACTTCCTCTGTTAATTGCTGTGTTTGGGGCACTCCTTAGGAAGTCCTCGAGGACACAAGTATATTGGGAGAATATTTCGAAAGATTTAAATTCGATTCTGAATTCACGAGTGGACGAGCAAAGCTTGGACATATTGTCATTGAGTTATAGGCACTTGCCCGCCCATTTAAAACCGTGTTTTCTTTACATGGGAGTCTTTTCAGAAGACCACAAAATCGACGCGTTCGAACTCATTAAACTTTGGGTTGCCGAAGGATTTATAAGACCAAATAAAACCCAAACCTTGGAAGAGATCGCAGAAGGTTATATAAAAGATTTCGTAGACAGAAATCTCATTTTAGTTTGTGCTTTTGGGTCGACCGGCAAAATAAAAACTTGTAACATCCACGATCTTCTAAGAGACTTGTGCTTAAAGACATCTCAGAAAGAGAGGTTTCTTTACATGATGAGTGCTTCCGATTCTCCACAAGGCATAGAAAATGAGCGCCGCATAGTTTTTCATGAAAGATTTCCACATTACATACATCACCCTCGGGGAGTCATTGATGCTTTAGAGTCAACATCACTTGCTCGTTCTCTGATAAGCGAAGGGGGTCGTTTGCCATTCAAGCCTAGATTGTTGAGAGTACTGAATTCGGTTACTCGCGATTGTTTGGATGATATTCTTAAACAAGTTAACTTGCGGTAATTTGTTTATTTTCCTTCTAATACAAATCTCGTCAATCTTCCCCCGTCGATATCACTACTCTGGCATTTGCAAACGCTAACTATTAGATTCTTCGGGTCTTGTAAATTTGTCGCACCGCCGGAAATTTGGTCAATGCGGCAACTTAGGCACGTGGAGTTGGGCGAGATATGTCTTCCGGATCCTCCTTCGAGCGACGGTCAACATGACGACGTAATCGTTTTGAGGGACCTACAGACACTTTTGGTAGTAAAAGATTTCAAGTTGAGCGAGGAGGTGTGTAAAAGAATAGCCAACATTAAGAAGTTGGAGATCGTGTATTATGATGTATCAGAGGAATTATACGACAATTGTCTCTATAATATTGACAAATTGCATAAACTTGAATCACTATACTACCATTTTGATGACGAGCCGAATCGAAGTGATTTGCTGTTGAACCTCACATTTCCCAGTTCGCTTCACAAGTTGACTTTAGAAGGTTGCTTTCTTCATTGGGAAGATTTGACAATAATTGGTTCATTGCCCAATCTTCGAGTCCTCAAGTTACTGTCGGATTCGGTTATCGGACCCGAGTGGGACCCAATTGAGGGTGAATTCGTCGGTCTGAAATACCTGGAAATTGAGTTTTGTGATGATCTGATGTACTGGAATGCAGACAGCTCACATTTTCCAGTCCTGGAGAAACTTGTTCTTACAGGATTGTCCAAATTGGATGAGATCCCTTCGCGTATCGGAGCAATACCGACGCTTGTCGATATTTATTTGTTCCTTTGCAGTGAGTCAGCTGCCATGTCAGCAGTGGAGATACTGGAGGAACAATTATTCGCACTGGGGAATGAAAATCTTCGAGTTCGAATTGATTTCTCGGACGAGGGTTTGGAGAGGTTCAAGGAAAAGGTGGAGCAATTCAAGTGCTTCACTTGCAGCAATTTGCATCTTCAGACTTTACCTTTTTTTATTTCATTTCCTTTTTAATTTGCTTTTCTGTAAGAATGGTTTGTAAATACTTCAGCAGCTTCTGCTTGTCGAATTTTAATTTTACCGCGTAAAACTACCCTCTATTTAATTATTCTTTTACACAATACCCCCCGTTCTGTTAAATGAACATACTTATTTACAAGAATGAGTGTGTGACCAATTATTTATGTAAGTTGTGTTTTGTTGTGCTGCTAATAATTAATTGTGGCCTAGATAAATTTATTATACCCAACTTATAGTTAGATTTTTGAGCTATATCTATATTTTTATTATTTTTTTGGGTAGGGTATTACTATGATAATAACGCTGACATTATATTAAGGGGTTTTTGTGATAAAGTCCCCAACCAAGCATGTTTATTATTCTAGGTTTAGGGGCTGTATCTCTTTCACCAATAAGCTCATCCCTTTAATATTTATTATAAATAAATGAAACACTCATGTATATCCCAATATTACCCTCAACCATTTATACCCAATTCTTAATTGTAACTTCAATTTAATCAATTTTGTCCACAAAAATCCAATTTTGACCACAAAAATTCAATTTTGATTTTTTTTTGGAGCATACTTTAATATGCTAAAATTTCATCATTTAACTTAATTTAATCTCAATTTGACCCCAAATTTCACAAATTATTCAATTTTGACCCAAAACCTTTTTTTTCACAAACATTTTTTTTTTCAAAAAAAATTTTTTTTGCCGCCGGATTCCGGCGTTGACTTTTCAAAAAAAAAATTTGTTTTTTTTTTCTTTCGGATTTTTTCGCCGGTTTCCGGCGTTGACTTTTTTTTTTTTTTTTTGCTTTTTTCTTTTCTTTTCTTTCGGATTTTTTCGCCAGTTTCCGGCGGTCTCCGGCGTTGACTTTTTTTAGTGTTTTTTTTTTTTTACGTCCGCCGCTAAAGTTGACCGTAATTGTGCTGTCACTGACAGTAAATTAACGTAATTATACTGTCAATGACAGTAAATTAACGTAATTGTACTGCCGTTAACAATACATTTATGTAATTATGCTGCCGTTGACAGTAAATTAATGTAATATTATTATTTATTTATTTTTTGTTTGATTTGTTGACAAGTCAACGTAAATATATTACTGTCGTTGACAGTAAAATAACTCTAAACACAATAATATTACTGTCAACAACATCAATATTATTATTTTTTTGGGTTTTTTGTTTTGTTTAAGTTATTCACGGAGTAACGTAATAATATTACTGTGTCTATTATTGTAATATTACTGTAAACACAATAATATTACTGTGGTTGACGGTAATATTACTGTTGTTATAGTAATATTGCTGTCAACTACATCAATATTATTATTTTGTTTGGATTTTTTGTTTGTTTGTGTTATTCATGGAGTAACGTAATAATATTACTGTCTATTATTGTAATATTATTGTGGTTGACGGTAATATTATGTTGTTATAGTAATATTACTGTCACTCACAGTAATATTAATTCTTTTGGTTTTTTATTATTTTTACATTTGTTGAACGGTCAACATAGTAATATTACTCTATTACACAATAATAATGAGTTTTGTTGTGTTAATATTACTGTGCTAGAGATTAATATAGCAATATTACTGTGTTAAACAGTAGTTTAGTTTAATTTTACTATGTTTAACAGTAATATAGTTAATATTACTGTCAATCACAGCAATATTGTTGTTTAAACGAAAAAAAAGGTTACAGAAAGAAAGAAAAGAAGAAAAAAAAAAGAAGAAAAAAAATCAAAAAAGTCAACGCCGGAGACCGGCGAAAAAATCCGGAAGGAAAAAAAAAATTGAAAAGTCAACGCCGGAGACCGGCGTTGACTGCCGGTCAACGCCAGAATCCGGCGGAAAAAAAAATTGAAAAAAAAAAAGTTTTGGGTCAAAATTGAATAATTTGTGAAATTTGGGGTCAGATTGAGGTTAAATAAAGTTACGGATGAAATTGGAGCATATTAAAGTATGAGGGGTTATTTTAGTCCTTTACAAAAATCTGGACCATGTGTGGACTTATTGGTAAAATAGTTTTTTGTCTTGATCTCTTTATAAATAAGTACCCATTGGTGGGCTTATTTGTAAAGACCCCTATTATTAATGGATATAAATCATTGTAATAATTTTCTTATCTATATCTATATTTATATCTATATCTATTCTATATCTATACTACTTATAAAAGTAATGAATAGATGGATGGTTTCTTCCATTTTTCGTACGTACAAATTAGCCCTCACAATATGTACTTTAGATATAGATTTTCAAGGACAAGTAAGTAATTTTAATAAATAATCATTAATCAATGTATTTGGGATTCATTGTATTTAGAATTGATAAATAGAAAAATAAAAAGGGGTAATATGCCTCACACCCCTCAAACCAAACATAATTAGATATGAGTGACAATCTCAAATAAAACATTTTAACTACACCTTTATTTTAAAATAAAAATTGTGACACATCCTTTATTTTTTATTTAACCCAAAAATACATTTACAATACCTAATAAAAGTCAATCTTTCTCTCTCTTCCCCTCCCCTCTATCTCACGCCGCTCAACAACCCCCAGCTATTCTGACTTTCTCGTTTCTCCCCCACCCCCTCTCTCTCTCTCTCTCTCTCCATGAAGGCAGCCCCTCTCTCTCTCTCTCCATGAAGGCCGCAGGTCTCTCTCTCTCCATGAAGGTCGGCGGCGCG